AAGCTATTATATAATACATAATTATAATATATTTTACTTTATTTCTCTTTACTTAGTTTACTGTGTTCATTATTTCTCAGCTGCTCTCACATCTGAATCTCACAGGTTAATCAATCATGTGTTCAATATTTACCGATAATCTGCTCAATCATGAAATGTTCTCAATTTTATCTTTATTCAAATTATATAAAGACCTTAAATGTCTCTATATATCTGCTTTTTACAGATCAGTATTGTAAATGTTCAATAAAACCAGCAGCAGATCATCAAATAAGAAGTCAAAGATTATAATCTGAGATTAGTTTGATCTGAAAGGTAATCAGATTTAATGTGTTTATAATCCTGTTATAGTACATCATTTTGGTTTTGCTGTTGTTGCCTCATGTTTGCTGGAGGAGATTCATTAAATACAGTTAAACTGTATGAGTTAAAGGTTGTGTTTGAGTCTGTTTAAATAAAGATAATTATGACTTTGTTAGTAACTGTCTTAAATATTAATACAGTTTCTTTTTAGTCAGAGACTTTAAAATCTTTAAAATTATCATGTTTCTGACTCTCTCCTCATATTTAATCTGGTTTTATTCCATCAGGAGGACTTGTGTCCACGCGCCCCGGTGTGCCCCCTCACCTGGCGTTGGTGCAGTCCCGGTACAGCGTCTCGAAGTCGGCTCTGGTGATGAGCTTGCACCGGTTCACTCCGGGCTGGATGGCTCCGAGCCCACGCAGGACCCGCACCTGCTCCACGGTGCAGACCACCGGGCAGATGTCGAGCCGCTTCAGCTTGGTGTAGACGGTGTGCAGACCCCCCACCAGGTGTTTGAGGAACAGCTCGAACACCTGCGGCAGGCAGATCAGCTCCACGCCGTTCACCGTGAAAGAAGCCACCTTCACGCCGTGGACCTCCACCATCTTACACTCGGTGTGGAGAGAAGCGCCGCCGCTTCCTCCGCCGCTCGACCCGTTCACACTCAGCGGGACTCTGCCGCTCCCACCGCTCAGGAACGCTCCGGGGAGACGCGCGGCAGGCAGACGCGGGGAGCCGGAGTTCGGAGCGCTGTAGGGCGGGTCAGAGTGGAAGAGGGGGTCGGTGGGAGGGGTGGAGTTCCGGGACAGAGGGGTGCTGGAGGAGCCCGCCATATTAGAGGTAAAAACCATAGAAGAAGAAGAAGAAATCTGAAATCTGTTTATCTGTGTTTGTTCTTCAGAGACTTTCCCGCGTCTGTGTCCCTCTGTTCCCGCCACTCAGACTGGACTGCACGCGCTCCCCTCTCTCCCTGATGGAGGGTCTCTCTCTCTCTCTCTCTCTCTCTCTCTCCCACACGCAGCAATCAACAATCAGCCAATCAGAGGAGGGGGCTACATACGGACAGGCCTCTCATTGGCTGAGAGAATTAATCCAAGGCATGTTTGAAGTTCAGTAATCTGACAGATAACCCTCAGTCCTTTAATAATCTCTAATCTGGTGTAAACAGGTGAGTTTTATGATCGTTAGTTTAGTTCTGTCTGTTTTTCTGATATAAAATCTGAACATGGGGCTCTTTGAGGGCGGATTCTCTTTCGGACTCAGCCTCTAGTGGACACTAACGGTACTGCACTGTTTGTGTGGTTCAATCAAATTTAGGATCATCAGTCAAGGACCGATTTAATAGATTCAGATTTTTTTAATCAAAGCCTAAAAAAGAGAGAGAGTGATGGTGCAAACAGGAACTCCACCTCATACATCAGCTGGGTTTCAAATTAAAAGCGCAGCATCAAATTAAAAGCATCAAATTAACCTTTACAGAGCGAGCAGATTAAATGTCAGCAGAAAACAGCTGAACGCCATCACATCCATACTTCCTGTGAGCGTGTCCACATCATCTACACACGACATCACCTGAGCGACACACACACACACACACACACACACACACACACACACACACACACACACACACGGTGATGGGATCTAAAGCTCTGTAACATGAGAGTCAGATCTGCAGGTTTACACACCTGTTCAGAGTCACCTGAGCACACCTGGATTACAAAAACACAACAACAGGTTAAAGGTGAGCGAGTTTACACCTGAGCGTGATGATGTCATCAGGAGAAGGTCACCAACAGCTGATCAAAACGTTCACCGTGGACCACACTCAGCACACTTTAAGATTCAGCTTCCTCTGCAGACAGGAAATGAGCGGCTGATCTGTTGGCGGGTGATCAGAGCCGTCCTATCAGCACGCAGCGCTCGTTAACAGCTCACACTAACAAGCGACACAAGAACAGAGAAGATACGAGAGGAGAGATTCAAGACGCCGTTTCCTTTAAACGCTCGTCAAACGGTTCCACACACACACACACACACGGGCGCGCACACACAAACACACACATCTAATTATTAAATTATTTTAGATGGAAACGAGCAAGGAGAGGAGGAAACAAGGATAGGAGAGGAGGAAACAAGGTGAGGAGAGGAGAAAAAAGACAAGGAGAGGAGGAAACAAGGATAGGAGAGGAGGAAGCAAGGTGAGGAGAGGAGGAAACATGGATAGGAGAGGAGGAAGCAAGGTGAGGAGAGGAGGAAACAAGGAGAGACAATGATATTTAAGAGAGAAGAACAAAATATCGATGGAAGGGAGTGAAGTGAGCAGAGGAAGGATGAAGGTGAGGAGAGGAAGGTGATGAGAGCAGGAGAGGAGTTTTTATTTCAATCTGAAACAGGAGGAAACAGCTTCACTCACTCCGAGGAAGTTCTACAACGAGGATAAAGTGACATAGTCCAGGACCCGAGGGAGGACAGTTTAGCGATGGCGCTACAACACGCTACAGCAGGTCCGTTTGACCAGAAACACTTCTGTTACAGACACTTGTCTTACTTTGTTAAAGCGGTTTACCTGTCCAGCAGAAAGGTTACAGGGTCACCAAGATCCCCAAGCGTCCCCCATCGTTTATGTTGACCCGGCTTTTTAGCTCTTGTCCGGTCTACCTCCGTTTTAAGCGCCCGTTATTCCTCCAGAGTCTCCGGTATTTACTTTGTTTTCTTGCTTGTGTCGGCAGTCGTGGCCAAAGGAGGATTCAGACAATTTTCCGAACTTTCTGGTTGGTTTCTACTGTCCGATATTGTAGCACGCTAACTTTGTTTGGGCTCCTGAACGACACGGGGGAGCAGCGTCTGCCTCACAACCAATCAGGTTAGAGGAGGTGGAGAACGGCTTTGTTTACAGTCAGAAAGAGCGGAGCGCTCAAAAATGTTCAAATGTTGACGACACAGACAGAAGAGAACACAGAGATATCGATATATTACCAAATAATCAATAACTAATAACTATTGACTGATATTAGAAGAGTTTTTGTTTATATCACCATGTTTTTTGTCATCCTACCATACGGAGATTTCCACTCCAGAGTCCTGTCTGTTTTATCTTCATGGTGTCAGGTGATGTTGGACACAGGTGACAGGTGTTTCTGGAGTTGGTCACGTGATGATTGTATCCAATGAAATGAGGAGAAGCTGATATTAACAAACTGTCTGTTTTTGTTTCTTTAAAGACTTTTTTATTCTTATATAAACAAACTCATCATTATGAAATCATGACGTAGTAAATATTGATCAGTTATTGATGTGGTGGTGGTGGTGGGGGCGGGGGTCGTCACGTGACTCAGTGTTGCTAACATCATGGCTGCTGAGGACCTGCCGTCTGAATTTGACGTCGTCATTCTGGGTACAGGTAAGGAGACACCTGGTTTTTAACACCCGCTCTGATCCGGGTCAGGGGTCTGAACGGGTCTCTGTTCGGTCTGGAGTCTTCTCGAACCGGCACTCCAGTTTAAAACGTCCCGAACCGGGACCAGTCTGGGGTAAGTCTGGGCGTTAGCTGGCGGCTAACAGTCCGTTCATTCTAAACGAGAGCGGCTAGCAGCTAACAGTCAGGTCGGTGTGTTAGCTTTGGTCCGTGTTAAACTGGGTCAGTATCAGAACTTTGTTCCGGTCCTGTTTGCTCCTGTCTGCAGCGGACCGAACCGAACCATCATCGATCATATGAACTGTTTATTCAGAACCTGAGCTTACACTGCTGTTAGCCTGCTGTGCTAAAGGCTAACAAGCTAATGAGAGATGCTGACAGAGTCACGTGATTTTATTATGATGCCGGAAGTGAGTCTGAATGTATGTGATGAAATCTACACTCAGTGTTGTTTATATGAGGATCTGTGTTTGTGTGTGTGTTTTAGATTCAGAATTTAATGGAGATGATAATAAACTGCAGTGACTGAGTGTGTGTGTGTGTGTGTGTGTGTGCGTGTCCGTGTCCGTGCGTGTGTGGATGTAAACATGACTGATGGTCAGTGTGATCAGGGTCCCTGGGCGGTGGGTCGGGGGTCCTCTCCATCCTAAATCATTGATCATGTGTGTTCCTGCTGTTGTGGGTCGATCACGTGGTTCTGGTTCTGGTCCTGTGTTCAGGTCTGGCTGAGTCGGTGGTGGCAGCAGCCTTCTCCAGAGTGGGTCAGAGGGTCCTCCATGTGGACAGGTCGGTCCCTCCCTCCTCTTATTGATAATATTGATCAGTTCACCTCACAGTCCATGTTTTTACCTGTCTGCAGAGACCTGTCAGTGTTTTCTATGAACCTCCTCCTCTGTTGTCTGTGTGACATCACAGACTCGCTCTGACTTTCTTCATGTTGCACTTGCGTCCTCGTCCTCGTCCTCGTCCCGCCCACCAGAGACACAGAGAGACAGCAGTGTTTACCTGAGGAGATTTTCAGCAGCGGCGCTTCTCTCTCGCCGCTCATGGATCTACGCTGTTCCGTTCACGTTACATGATATTGACGTACTTACTCGCCGTGTTTAATGTTAGCCTTTACATTAGTGGAAGAGGGTCTGACAGGATTTGTGACGCTCTTTAAAGACTCAAAACAAATCAAAAATAACGTGGTGTGTTGTTGTTGTGCTCACACTGTGCGAGTAGAAATCATTAGTGGCGCATTGATATTAATGATCATGTGAAACTTCAGCAGCAGCGCACGTATTTTAGCTGCGGCGGTGCGCTGCTGCTGAACGAATGTTGGGGAAACACTGGACAGTCCTGTCCGTCAGAGCGTCACTGAGGAAAATGACAGTAACCCTGAATCTTCACCACATCTGGAACAACTCCACTGCGGAACGGCGGCGATTCTTTGGTCCACCAATTCCTACCAGATCTGTTTGAGTCGTCTCTCTAAAGACAGACACATAGACATATAAGCAGTAGATTGTGTCCTTCCAGAGGAGGAAATCTACTTCTAGACTTCTAGAATCAGCATCTCCTCATCCATGGTGTCATCGGGGTGAAATGACGTCTAAAAACCTTTCACTTGTTCGTCTCCGCCCGTTTGCATGGTGTGAAATACGATCCTCCTGAAACACGGAGTGTTTTATTTTGAAAATAAGCCGGATGTTTTATTTTGAAAAGAAGCCGGATGTTTTATTTGAATTGAAGTCGACTAAAACTGGAGACGTAGACGGACGACTGTTTTTATCATAGGCGTGTTTACGATCAGACGCCCCCTGCTGGACGTCAGAGAGGATGAAGTTTGGACCCTGATTGGTCAAACTCCTGACAGGTGATGTGTTTGTTTTTTCAGGAGGAGTTATTATGCAGCGAACTGGGCGAGCTTCACCTTTAACGGCCTGCTCACCTGGATACAAGAGAACCAGGTGAGTGTCACTCTGCTCTCTGATTGGTCGCTCACATCAGCTTAATGTCCCTATGAGGAAAAAACAGACTACAAACATGATGTGTGTGTGTGTGTGTGTGTGTGTGTGTGTTGTAGGAGGGGTCTCACCCAGAGGAGGCCCAGGACTGGTCAAGCCTCGTGGAGGAGGGGGAGGAGCTAATCCGTCTGTCAAACTCAGACTCCACCTCCATCAGTAATGTGCAGGTGTTCACTTACACCAGGTGTGTTTGTGTGTGTGTGTGTGTCACTGTGTGTTAGTGTTACACAGCTGTTTCCAGTGGCTGCTCTTTCAAAATAAAAGCCTTCAGGTGTCTCATAGAGAGTCAGAGGGTGTTTTTTTCTGTGCTGTGATGAAGATTTCGTGACGGTGTTGTTGATGTTTGTGTCAGTGAGGAAGATGAAGAAGAAGAAGAAGCTCCAAACACCACAGAAGAAGAAACAGGAGGAGCTGAAGGAGACGCCGTCAAAGAGGCGTCAGAGACAGAGTCTGCAGGTTCGACCGCTTCAATGATCATTTCATGAAAAACGACTAAATATCAGAGACGTCTCTTCATTTTAGTTTCATATTTTTATTCAATCACAGTTAATTTTCACTCTTAAAATCTTCAGTTTCATCAAGACTTACAGAAATACAGAGTCTGTTTTTGTCCACCTTTAGACTCAAAAGAAGAAGAAACGGAGGAGAAACAAGAGGAGACAGCAGAGGGAGGAGGAGGAGGAGAAGAAGAACAGGTGAGCAGGAGGAGAGGATGAAGAAAAAGATCATGAACAGATTCAAACCTCTGCTGATCGATGAAAACACACCTGAACCATTGATCCAGTCTGAAGTATCAATAAAAATCTATACATGCGTTATCCAATCACATAGGCTCCCAGCACTGAGGGGGAGGAGCCAGAGGCGGATCAGCCAGCTCCCTCTGCAGCTCAGAGCCAATCAGAACCAGCGAAGAAGAAGAAGATCAGCTACACGAAGCTCGTGAAGGAGGGGCGCAGGTTCAACATCGACCTGGTCTCCAAGGTAACGCCGTGACCTCTTCAGGTGTGTTAGTCTCATGAACCTGAACCTGTCGCTCACCTGTGTCCTCGCTCTCTTCACCTTCAGCTCATGTATTCTCGCGGCTCATTGGTCGACCTGCTCATCAAATCAAATGTCAGTCGCTATGCAGAGTTTAAGAACGTCACCAGGATACTGACCTACCGCAACGGACAGGTGGAACAGGTGAGTCCGACACAAACACTGACCTGTCTGTTACCTGTCTGTTCACCTGTCTGTTACCTGTCTGTTACATGTCTGTTACCTGTCTGTTTACCTGTCTGTTACCTGTCTGTTTACCTGTCTGTTTTCCTGTCTGTTACCTGTCTGTTACCTGTCTGTTTTCCTGTCTGTTACCTGTCTGTTTACCTGTCTGTTTACCTGTCTGTTTTCCTGTCTGTTTACCTGTCTGTTACCTGTCTGTTACCTGTCTGTTTACCTGTCTGTTTGCCTGTCTGTTACCTGTCTGTTACCTGTCTGTTTACCTGTCTGTTCACCTGTCTGTTTACCTGTCTGTTTTCCTGTCTGTTACCTGTCTGTTGACCTGTCTGTTTTCCTGTCTGTTTTCCTGTCTGTTACCTGTCTGTTACCTGTCTGTTTACCTGTCTGTTTTCCTGTCTGTTTTCCTGTCTGTTACCTGTCTGTTACCTGTCTGTTTTCCTGTCTGTTACCTGTCTGTTTACCTGTCTGTTTACCTGTCTGTTACCTGTCTGTTACCTGTCTGTTTACCTGTCTGTTTACCTGTCTGTTCACCTGTCTGTTTACCTGTCTGTTACCTGTTTACCTGTCTGTTTACCTGTCTGTTACCTGTCTGTTTACCTGTCTGTTACCTGTCTGTTTACCTGTCTGTTTACCTGTCTGTTACCTGTCTGTTTACCTGTCTGTTACCTGTCTGTTTACCTGTCTGTTACCTGTCTGTTACCTGTCTGTTTACCTGTCTGTTTACCTGTCTGTTCACCTGTGTGTTTTCCTGTCTGTTACCTGTCTGTTACCTGTCTGTTTACCTGTCTGTTTACCTGTCTGTTTACCTGTCTGTTTTCATGTCTGTTACCTGTCTGTTACCTGTCTGTTTACCTGTCTGTTACCTGTCTGTTACCTGTCTGTTACCTGTCTGTTTTCCTGTCTGTTACCTGTCTGTTTACCTGTCTGTTTACCTGTCTGTTTTCCTGTCTGTTTACCTGTCTGTTACCTGTCGGTTACCTGTCTGTTTACCTGTCTGTTTGCCTGTCTGTTACCTGTCTGTTACCTGTCTGTTAACCTGTCTGTTCACCTGTCTGTTTACCTGTCTGTTTTCCTGTCTGTTACCTGTCTGTTGACCTGTCTGTTTTCCTGTCTGTTTTCCTGTCTGTTACCTGTCTGTTACCTGTCTGTTTACCTGTCTGTTTTCCTGTCTGTTACCTGTCTGTTACCTGTCTGTTTTCCTGTCTGTTACCTGTCTGTTTACCTGTCTGTTACCTGTCTGTTTACCTGTCTGTTACCTGTCTGTTTTCCTGTCTGTTTACCTGTCTGTTTACCTGTCTGTTTACCTGTCTGTTCACCTGTCTGTTTACCTGTCTGTTTACCTGTCTGTTACCTGTCTGTTTACCTGTCTGTTACCTGTCTGTTTACCTGTCTGTTACCTGTCTGTTTACCTGTCTGTTACCTGTCTGTTTACCTGTCTGTTACCTGTCTGTTTACCTGTCTGTTACCTGTCTGTTACCTGTCTGTTTACCTGTCTGTTCACCTGTCTGTTTACCTGTCTGTTCACCTGTCTGTTTTCCTGTCTGTTACCTGTCTGTTTACCTGTCTGTTTACCTGTCTGTTTACCTGTCTGTTTTCATGTCTGTTACCTGTCTGTTTACCTGTCTGTTACCTGTCTGTTACCTGTCTGTTCACCTGTCTGTTTACCTGTCTGTTCACCTGTCTGTTCACCTGTCTGTTTACCTGTCTGTTACCTGTCTGTTACCTGTCTGTTCACCTGTCTGTTTACCTGTCTGTTTTCATGTCTGTTACCTGTCTGTTACCTGTCTGTTTACCTGTCTGTTACCTGTCTGTTACCTGTCTGTTCACCTGTCTGTTACCTGTCTGTTTACCTGTCTGTTTACCTGTCTGTTACCTGTCTGTTACCTGTCTGTTTACCTGTCTGTTACCTGTCTGTTTACCTGTCTGTTACCTGTCTGTTACCTGTCTGTTTACCTGTCTGTTTACCTGTCTGTTCACCTGTCTGTTTACCTGTCTGTTACCTGTCTGTTTTCCTGTCTGTTACCTGTCTGTTACCTGTCTGTTTACCTGTCTGTGTACCTGTCTGTTTTCATGTCTGTTACCTGTCTGTTTACCTGTCTGTTACCTGTCTGTTACCTGTCTGTTCACCTGTCTGTTTACCTGTCTGTTACCTGTCTGTTCACCTGTCTGTTTTCCTGTCTGTTTACCTGTCTGTTTACCTGTCTGTTTTCATGTCTGTTTTCCTGTCTGTTTACCTGTCTGTTACCTGTCTGTTACCTGTCTGTTCACCTGTCTGTTTACCTGTCTGTTACCTGTCTGTTTACCTGTCTGTTCACCTGTCTGTTTACCTGTCTGTTACCTGTCTGTTTTCCTGTCTTTTACCTGTCTGTTACCTGTCTGTTACCTGTCTGTTTACCTGTCTGTTTACCTGTCTGTTTACCTGTCTGTTTTCATGTCTGTTACCTGTCTGTTACCTGTCTGTTACCTGTCTGTTCACCTGTCTGTTTACCTGTCTGTTTACCTGTCTGTTTTCATGTCTGTTACCTGTCTGTTACCTGTCTGTTTACCTGTCTGTTACCTGTCTGTTTACCTGTCTGTTACCTGTCTGTTTACCTGTCTGTTTACCTGTCTGTTTACCTGTCTGTTTTCATGTCTGTTACCTGTCTGTTTTCCTGTCTTTTACCTGTCTGTTACCTGTCTGTTACCTGTCTGTTTACCTGTCTGTTTACCTGTCTGTTTACCTGTCTGTTTTCATGTCTGTTACCTGTCTGTTACCTGTCTGGTTACCTGTCTGTTACCTGTCTGTTCACCTGTCTGTTTACCTGTCTGTTTACATGTCTGTTACATGTCTGTTACCTGTCTGTTACCTGTCCAGGTGCCTTGCAGCAGAGCGGACGTGTTCGCCAGTCGCCAACTGTCTGTGGTTGAAAAGAGGAAGTTGATGCGTTTCCTCACTTCCTGTGTGGAGGAGACAGAGGAGCAGCGAGGTGAGACTCCTCCCTCACCTGAGTCTCTCTGACCTCACCTGTCACCTGTGTGTATTATCAGACTGTGCCCAGCCTCGTAGAGCAT